TGCAATCCACCATGACATTCAAAGAATGTTCTCATTTAGAAGGGAAGAGTTCCTGAGCAACACCCGTATTTTTTTTTTTTTTTTTTTTAAGGTGGAGTCTTGCTCTGTCGCCCAGGCTGGAGTGCAGTGGCGTGATCTCGGCTCACTGCAACCTCTTCCTCCCAGGTTCATGCCATTCTCCTGTCGCAGCCTCCCGAGTAGCTGGGACTACAGGTGCCTGCTACCACGCCCGGCTAATTTTTTGTATTTTTAGTAGAGACGGGTTTTCACCGTGTTAGCCAGGATGATCTCAATTTCCTGACCTCATGATCCGCTCGCCTTGGCCTCCCAAAATGCTGGGATTACAGGCATGAGTCACCGTGCCTGGCTGAGCAACACCCCTATTGCTGGGCGTGTGAACCAGAGTCTCCGATAGGTAACGTGTAGTGAGTATTAGACAAGGATGGCTCAGAAACAGTATTGGGCCAAGCATGGTGGCTCATGCCTGTAATCCCGCACTTTGAGAGGTCAGGGCTGGTGGATCACTTGAGCCCAGGGGTTCGAGACTAGCCTGGGCAACAGAGTGAGACCCCATCCCTACAGAAAATGAAAAACTTAGTTGAGCATGATGGCTTGTGCCTGTGGTACCGTTTACTCAGGAGGCGAGGCTGAGGCAGGAGGATTGCTTGAGTCCAGGAGTTTGAGGCTGCGACGCCACTGCTGTCCATCCGGGGTGATAGAGACCCTCCCCCACGCGCCCCCATCTAAAAAACAAAACAAACCAGCTTTGGCAGCAGTGTTCATACCTAATTCTTTGTTTTTTGAGATGAAGTTTCTCTCTTGCTGCTCAGGCTGGAGTGCAGTGGCGCAATCTCGGCTCACTGCAACATCCACCTCCCGGGTTCAAGCGATTCTCCTGCCTCAGCCTCCCGAGTAGCTGGGATTACAGGCATGCACTACCACGCCTGGCTAATTTTTTGTGTTTTTAGTAGAGATGGGGTTTCTCCATGTTGGTCAGGCTGGTCTCAAACTCCTGAGCTCAGATTCAGGTGATCCGCCTACCTCAGCCTCCCAAAGTGCTGGGATTTACAGGTGTGAGCCACGGGGCCCGGCCAATATCTAATTTAAATAGAAATTGGATCTCGTCCTCTGAAATGGTCAGACCCTTTTAATAATCAATGGTTTTTAGTTTGTAGCTTTAGTCTGTAAAACCCTTTTTTTTTTTTTTTTTTTTTTTTGAGACAAAGTCTCCCTCTGTCACCCAGGCTGGAATGCAGTGGCTCCATCTCGGCTCACTGCAAGCTCCATCTCCCAGGTTCAAGTGAATCTTGTGCCTCAGCCTCCTGCGTAGTTGGGATTACAGGTGTGTGCCACCACAGCTGGCTAATTTTTGTATTCTTAGTAGCCATGTTGGCCAGGCTGGTCTCAAACTCCTGACCTCAAGTGATCTACCTGCCTCGGCCTCCCAAAGTGCTGGGATTACAGGCATGAGCCACCATGCCCGGCCTAGATGTGAGTTTTAATTGAGTTCTGACTGCAAAGCCCATGTACATCCTTCCTGCTGCACTAGGCTGTCTCCATTTTATGTCTGGAGGAAGGGCAGAATTTTTCCTCTTTTTGATAAATTGTGATTTGTTGCTTTGGATTGCTGAAACCAAATGCTTCAGAACACAGCTGCCTTTGGAAGTTGGCTCACCAAGAAATTTTTTAAACAAGGACAGCAGCAATTTGTATATGTAGTCTAATAGAGTCTCATGGGATTGGTTTCCTTCATTAGCCATCAGTTAGCTTGACTTTTCCAAATTGTTAATTTTATTTTCTCCAAGAGAATAAGTATCAAATATCACCATCAATTTTCATTTCATAAAGGGCATGTAATTCCTAAAGTGTTAAGTGTGCCAAAAGTCACCATCCTTCTTGCATTTGTAGGAACAAAGGCTCCTAAGAAGAACTTCATTCTCTTCTGTATAAAGATGCCTGTTTTGATAGAGAGCAGTCCTGGATAATAAGTTTGTTTTCCTACAGTTGAGGAGGACTTTTCATTATGGAAAAGCAAGAGTTTGGCTGTGTATGGTGGCACATGCCCATAACCCCAGCCACTTGGGAGGCTGAGGCCGAGGCAGGAAGATTGTTTGAGCCCAGGAGTTCAACACCAGCCTGGGCAACATAGTGACTCCCCATCTCTACACAAAATTGTAAAATTAGCCAGGTGCAGTGGTGTGCACCTGTAGTCCCAGTTACTTGGGAGGCTGAGGCAGGGGAATCACTTGAGCCCAGAGGTTTGGGGTTACAGTGAGTGCCACTGCACCCCAGCCTGGGTGACAGAGTGAGACTCTGTCTTTGAGAGAGAGGCTGGGCCAGGTGGCTCACACCTGTAATCCCAGCACTTTGGGAGGCCCAGGCAGGTGGATCACTTGAGGTCAGGAGTTCAAGACCAGCCTGGCCAACATGGTGAAACCCCACCTCTACTAAAAATACAAACAACATTAGCCAGGCACGGTGGCAGGTGCCTGTAATCCCAGCTACTCAGGAGGCTGAGGCAGGAGAACTGCTTGAACCCAGGAGGTGGAGGTTGCAGTGAGCCGAGATCGCACCACTGCACTCCAGCCTAGGCGACAGAGCAAAGCGCTGTCTCAGAAAAATAAAAGAGAAAGAGAAAAAAGAAAAAGAAAGGAAGGCAGGAAGGAAGAAAGGAAAGGACAGGAAAGGAAAGGAGGAAGAAAGGAAGGAAGAGTGATGAAAATTTTATAGTATGAAGTGTATGGGTAAGGTACACAAGTCTTTTTTTTTCTCTTTTTTTGGGACCCCTGTCAGAAACTAAATTTTGTTCATCACATTATTCTAACAGAATGTCTTACACGGCAGGCAGTGAGCTATTGAAGTTCATTATCCTAGGAGGTATTAACGAAACAAATGAACTTTAAAAGTTCAGATAAACTCATGGGTGATAAATTATTAAGGGGAATCATCAAGAGAAACCACCAAAAATATTCTCAGAGACGTCAAGGAACACCTTGGCACATTGTGAGCTGGAAGGACCCTGATTTTGACCTGATTCTGACCTACCATCTTTTTTTTGGCTTTTTTTTTTTTGAGACAGGGTCTTGCTTTGTCATTCAGCCAGGAGTGCAGTGGTGTGAACATGCCTCACTGCAGCCTTAACCTCTCGGGCTCAAGCGGTCCTTCCCCCTCAGCTCCCCAAGTAGCTGGGACTACAAGTGAGCGACACCCTTCCTGGCTAATGTTGTTGTTGTTTTTTTTTTTGAGACGGAGTCTCGCTCTGTCACCCAGGTTTGAGTGCAGTGGCGCAATCTCTGCTCACTGCATGCTCCACCTCCTGGGTTCATGCGGTTCTCCTGTCTCAGTCTCCCAAGTAGCTGGGACTACAGGCGCCCGCCACCACGCCTGGCTAATTTTTGTATTTTTAGTAGAGACGGGGTTTCACTATGTGGGTATCACCATGTTGGCCAGGCTGGTCTTGAACTCCTGACCTCAAGTGATCTGCCCGCCTCGGCCTCCCAAAGTGCTGGGATTACAGGTGTGAGCCACCGCGCCCAGCCTTATTTTTTTTTAAGGGATGTGGTTTTACCATGGTCAGACCCTTTTAATAATCAATGGTTTTGATTATCATCATAGGTATTACCAGTGTTACCAGACTCCGGCTTCTTGTCCCCAGTATTACCTATGATGTTTCTTGAGGGTGAACGACTTGAGAAACCCACTAAATAAGGCCAGCGAGGGTGAGGGAAACAATGTGCTTACCATTTGTGATTTGTGATTGTGGCAGAATGTATTAAATGGATTCTTCGTTGATATTCTCTCAGAGGGAACTTAGAGCGTTTAATAACCAAGCAGTGGCACAAACTGTTTCATGATATTGACATGAGAATGCAGCAGGATTTGAACTTGTCCAAAGAAATTCAGGGCAATAACTGCCAGGATTAAAATAAGCCTTGTGCTCAGCCTGAATGCACATTCTTTGGACTCAGTGCAGTCTCTTGGGAGTTAGACATCGGATCCTGAAACTATATAATAGTGCTCCCTGGGAATTGGGAGACCCGGGAAATAGAAACCAGTTAAATGCACTAGAAATTTCAGAGCGAATGTGACCTGGGCATGTCAGTATCAAGCATCTTACCTTGGATTCAGCAGGGATGGTGTTTGAATATTGCCAGCTGCCGTATGGCTTGAGGAGACGTCCATGCCCTTTGGAAAGTCATGGACGTCTTGGGTGTGTGTGGGATGGGGGTGTCCAGGTTAGATTTCACTTGGAAGAGGCTTTTTGTGCATAGTAGCTGCTGTTTTCTCTGAGCTAATCAGCCTCCCCATGGACTCCAGGACTTCTGTCTCTTCCATTTATTTATTTTTATTTTTCGAGACGGAGTCTCACTCTGTCACCCAGGCTAGAGTGCAGTGGCTTGATCTTGACTCACTGCATCCTCCACCTCCCAGGTTCAAGCGATGCTCCTGCCTCATCCTCCCAAGTAGCTGGTATTACAGGTGCCCACCATAACACCTGGCTAATTTTTGTATTTTTAGTAGAGACGGGATTTCACTATGTTGGCCAAGCTGGTCTTGAACTCCTGACCTCAGGTGATCTGCCTGCCTTGGCCTCCCAAAGTGGTGGGATTACAGGTGTGAGCCACCCCGCCCAGTCTTGTCTCTTCAATTTAGAAGGTACCAGCTTGGTTACGTATAGTCTTGATGTGGGAATAACAGATAACAACTGCCCTATTGTCAAAAATGAATGTGTACTTGGGAGGCTGAGATGGGAGGATCACTTGAGACCAGGAGTTCGAGTCCAGCCTGGGCAACATAGCAGGACCCTGTCTCTACAAAAAATAAAGTGAATGTGAAATTTGGTTGCGAATTAGAAGTAGGTGGGTAAAAGCATCCACTGTAGAGAACTAATGATACTTGTGAGCTGGGGACTTCTTGGGAGATAGGAAGAGCCACAGAGACCTCTGCCTTATATCCCTGGCTGGGTTTGCTGGCAGCACTGATTGTGTTCTCTCTCTCAGGCAACTGCGATGTCTGTGGACTGTCTTGGGCAGCATGCAGTGCTTTCTGGGTAAGTGAGCTTGCTGAGTTTGTCTGCCATGATTTCTAGAAACGAATTGCAAATCAGGGAGTTTCTGGGAGCTTGGAAGCTATTCTTCTATTTAGGATTATGATCATAGGGTTTAGTTCTGATGTCCTGTTTGCCTCAGGGCTACTTGGAGGGATTATTCGCAGTTTATTTTAATCTCTGCCCTAATAGGTAAGCAATAAAACACCTTTGAAGTTTTAGTGACTGGTAGCTTGAACTTGAAATTGCAGTTTTCTGTTTACTACAAGACTCAAGGATGTTTGCTACTATATACCTGAAGGATGTAATCTATTATGGTCAAGGAGGTGGTTCCTAGGATTGAAGGATTCTGAGTTCCAGTTTGACGGTGCCACTAACTGTGAGCCCCTGGACATTTATTCAGTTTGGCTTAACTGGACTTTGGTTTTCTCATGAAGGAATTTGATTTCATCATGAAGGAATCGAATGACATAGTTTCTGTAGCGTCTTCTGGCTCAAAATTTTTAAGACTCTGGCAATTAAGGGCCATCTCTGTTTTTGCTAATAACCCTAATATTGTACTATTGGGATAAAATGTGATAATTAAGCCAGGCGTCGCCTGTAGTCCCAGCTACTTGTGAAGCTGAGGTGGGAGGATCACTTGAGCCAAAGAGTTGAAGACCAGCCGGGTCAACATAGCAAGACACCATCTCAAAAAAAATTTTTTTTTTGAGACAGAGTTTTACTCATGTCGCCCAGGCTGGAGTGCAATGGCGCGATCTCGGCTCACTCTGTCTCCGGTGTTCAAGTGATTCTCCTGCCTCAACCTCCCAGGTAGCTGGGATTACAGGTGCGTGCCACCATGCCCGGCTCATTTTTTGTATTTTTAGCAGAGACAGGGTTTCACCATGTTGGCTGGGCTGACCTCGAACTCCTGACCTCAGGTGATCCACCTGCCTTGGCCTCCCAAAGTGCCTCCTAAAGTGCTGGGGATTACAGGCATGAGCCACAGCACCTGGTGAAAAATTTTTTTTTTTTTTTTTTTTTTTTTTTTTTTTTGAGACTGAGTCTGGCTCTGTCACCCAGGCTGGAGTGCAGTGGCCGGATCTCAGCTCACTGCAAGCTCCGCCTCCCGGGTTCACGCCATTCTCCTGCCTCAGCCTCCCGAGTAGCTGGGACCACAGGCGCCCGCCACTTCGCCCGGCTATTTTTTTGTATTTTTTAGTAGAGACGGGGTTTCACCGTGTTAGCCAGGATGGTCTCGATCTCCTGACCTCGTGATCCGCCCGTCTCGGCCTCCCAAAGTGCTGGGATTACAGGCTTGAGCCACCGCGCCCGGCCGAAAAATTTTTTTTTGATGGTCATGGTCCCCTTTCCCTTTCGTGTTGCTCTCGATTACAGTCCTTACCTCTAGGATCCACTGTGTTTTCATTAATGTAGTTGTTTATGAACTCCTTTACAAATCAATGAAAATGTTTTCTTTTCTATCAGCTTCATTACTTTATTTTGAAACTGTGTTTTAATTTACCTTTTTAAAAAACCACACAACATAGTAAACATTTAAAAAGTTCAGAAGGATATACAATGAAAAGTAAATTTCCTTCCTACCTCTGACCACCTCCCCAGAGAAAATTATTGATACCATTTTTTTGTGTGTCATACTGGGTGCCTAGATAAGGGAAAATTGGTATCTCTTTTCTGCCTGCAGCTCCCTACTCTTTTTTTTTTTCTTGAGATGGTGTTTCGCCCTTGTTGCTCAGGCTGGAGTGCAGTGGCACGATCTTGGCTCACTGCAACCTCCGCCTTCCAGTTTCAAGTGATTCTCCTGCCTCAACCTCCCGAGTACCTGGGATTACAGGCACCCAGCACCACGCCCAGCTAATTTTTGTATTTTTAGTAGAGATGGGGTTTCACCATGTTGGCCAGGCTGATCTTGAACTCCTGACCTAGTGATCCGCCCGGCTCGTTCTCTCAAAGTGCTGGGATTACAGGCGTGAGCCACCGTGCCTGGCACACATTCTTACTATTTTTCAACATGATCTCGAAGGTTTCTATTTAATTTTCTTGCCTTTTTTTCTGTTTTTAGAGATGGGGGTCTTGCTTTGTTGCCCAGGCTGGTCTTGAACTGCTGGACTCAAGCAATCCTCTCACCTTGGCCTCATTTCATATTTTCTCTCTCTCTCTCTCTCTCTCTCTCTCTCTCTCCTCCCTCCCTCCCTCTCTCTCTCACCTTTTCTCTCTTACTTTCTTTTTCGCTTTCTTTCTTTTGAGACAGGGTCTCACTCCGTTGCCCAGGCTGGAGTGCAGTTGCTGATGTGATCTTGGCTCACTGCAGCCTCAACATCCCAGACTCAAGCAATCCACCTGCCTCTGCCTTGGCCTCTTGAAGTATTTTCTTTTCTTTTCTTTTTTAAAAAAATTTATTTTAATTTTAAGTTCCAGGATACATGTACAGGATGTGCAGGTTTGTTACGTAGGTAAACATGTGCTATGGTGGTTTGCTGCACCTATCAACCCATCACCTAGGTATTAAGCCCCACGTGCAGTAGCTATTTATCCTGATGCTCTGCCTCCCCGCCGGCCCCCAACAAGTCCCATTGTGCATTGTTTCCCTCCCTGTGTCCATGTGTTCTCACTGTTCAGCTCATACTTATAAGTGAGAACATGTGGTATTTGGTTTTCTGTTCTTGTGTTAGTTTGCTAAGGATAATGGCTTCCAGCTCCATCTATGTCCCTGCAAAGGACATGATCTCATTCCTTTTTATGGGTACATAGTACTCCATGATGCATATGTACCACATTTTCTTTATCCAGTCTATCACTGGTGGGCATTTGGGTTGATTCCATGTCTTTGCTATTGTGAATAGTGCTTCACTGAACATATGCATGCATGTATCTTTATTTGTATTTGTATTTTTTTTTGGAGATGGAGTCTCACTCTGTCACCCAGGCTGGAGTGCAGTGGCGTGATGTCGGCTCACTACAACTTCTGCCTCCCGGGTTCAAGCAATTCTCCTGCCTCAACCTCCCGAGTAGCTGGGACTACAGGCGCACGCTGCCATGCCTGGCTAATTTTTTGTATTTTAGTAGAAACGGGGTTTCACCGTGTTGCCCAGGCTGGTCTTGAACTCCTGAACTCAGGCAGTCCACCCTCCTTGGCCTCCCAAAGTGCTAGGAGTGAGCCACCGCGCCCGGCCATATCTTTATAATAGAATGATTTAGATTCCTCTGGGTACATACCCAATAATGGGATTGCTGGATCAAATGGTATTTCTGCCTCTAGGTCTTTCAGGAATCTCTCACCACTCCTATTCAACATAGTATTGAAAGTTCTGGCCAGGGCAATCAGGCAAGAGAAAGAAATAATGAATATTCAAATAGGAAGAGAGATAAAAAAAGAAAAAATAAGTAGAAAAAGAGGAAGTCAAACTGTCCCTGTTTGCAGATGACATGATCCTGTATCTAGGAAACCCCATTGTCTCAGCCCCAAAGTTTCTTAAGTTGATAAGCAACTTTAGCAGAATTTCAGGATACAAAATCAGTGTGTAAAAATCACAAGCATTCCTATACAACAACAATAGGCAAGCAGAGAACCAAATCATGAATGAACTCCTATTCACGATTGTTACAAAGAGAATAAAATACCTAGGAATACAGCTAACAAGGGAATTGAAGGACCTCTTCAAGGAGAACTGTAAACCACTATACAACGAAATCAGAAAGGACAGAAACAAATAGAAAAACATTCCATGCTCATGGATAGGAAGAATCAATATCATGAAAATGGCCATACCTCCCAAAGTAATTTATAGATTCAGTGCTGTTCCCATTAAACTACCATTGACATTCTTCACAGAATTAGAAAAAAGTATAAAATTCATATGGAAGCCAAAAAGAGCTTGTATAGCCAAGAAAATTCTAAACAAAAAGAACAAAGCTGGAGGTATCACATTACCTGACTTCAAACTATCCTACAAGCCTGCAGTAACTAAAACAGCACGGTACTGGTACAAAACAGACACATAGACCAATGGAACAGAATAAAGATATCAGAAATAAGACTGTGCATCTACAACCATCTGATCTTCGATCAACCTGACAAAAACAATCAATGGGGAAAAGATTCCCTATTTAACAAGTGGTGCTAGAAGAACTGGCTATTCATATGCAGAAAATGGAAACTGGACCCCTTCCTTACACCTTATAAAAAAATGAACTCAAGATGGATTAAAGACTTAAATGTAAAATCCAAAACTATAAAAACCCTAGAAGAAAATCTAGGCGGTACCATTCAAGACATAGGTACGGGCAAAGATTTTATGACAAAAACACAAAAAGCAATCGCAACAAAAGCAAAAATTGACAAATGGGATCTAATTAAACTAAAGAGTTTCCCCATAGCAAAAGAAACTATCATCAGAGTGGACAGCCTACAGAATGGGAGAAAATTCTTGCAACCTATCCATCTGACAAAGGTCTAATATCCAGAATCTGCAAGGAACTTAAACAAATGTACAAGAAAAAAAAAAAAAACATTAAAAAGTGGGCAAAGGACATGAACAGACACCTCTCAAAAGAAGACATTTATGCAGCCAACAAACATATGAAAAAAAGCTTATCATTACTGATCGTTAGAGAAATGTAAATCAAAACCACAATGAGATACCATCTCTCACCAAAGTGTCAATTATTAAAAAGTCAAGAAACAACAGATGCTGGCAAGGCTGTGGAGAAATAGGAATGCTTTTACACTGTTGGTGGGAATGTAAACTAGTTCAACCATTGTGGAAGACATTGTGAAAGACAGGTGATTCTTGAAAGACCTAGAACTTTCATTTTCTTATATTGGGTTTCTTTTTGTTGTTGTTTTGAGACAAGGTTTCACTCTGTTGCCTAGGCTGGAATGCAGATCAAGGCTCACTGCAGTCTCGACTTCCAGGGCTCAAGTGATCCTTCCACCTCAGCCTCTGAACTGCTGGGACTGCCGGCATGTACCACTATACCTGCCTGGCTGATTTTTTTTTTTTTTTTTCGTAGAGACAGGATCTCCCTCTATTGCCCAGGCTGATCTTGAGCTCCTGCGCTCGAGTGATCCTCCTGCCTTGGCCTCCCAAAGTGCTGGGATTATAGACGTGAGCCATGCACCTGACCTTTTCTTATGTTGAATTTTACAATATGTGTAGTAAATTGTATAAAGTGTGGTAAACTTAAGTAAATAGCTAAAATTTACAAATATATACACTCATGTAATCACCATTCTGATTAAGATACAGTTTTTTTTTTTGTTTTTTTTTTTAGCACCGTGAAAGGCCCTTCAAATCTGGAAATCTGAATCTTTTAGTTTAGAGAAATTTTTCTGTATTATGTCTTTGATCATTTTCTGCCTTTTGTGAGGGAGTCTTGCTCTGTCACCAAGGTTGGAGTGCAGTGATGAAAACTTGGTTCACTGCAACCACCTCTGCCTCCCGGGTTCAAGCGATTCTCATGCCTCAGCCTCCCAAGTAGCTGGGATTACAGGTGAGTGCCACCACACCCAGCTAATTTTTGTAGTTTTAGTAGAGACAGGGTTTTGCCACGTTGGCCAGGCTGATCTCAAACTCCTGACCTCGGGTGATCTACCCACCTCAGTCTCCCAAAGTGCTGTGAATCACTGTGCCTGACCTCATTTTCTCTTCTCATTCTTTCTTGTTGGAATTCCTACTAGTAGTCAATGTTGGATATCTTGTATGACTTTTCTTCTGGCCTTGTTGTCAGTTTTGCATTCTGGGAGTTTTAAACTTTAGCTTCTTTCTTTTTTTTAGATGGAGTTTTGCTCCGCTGCCCAGGCTGGAGTGCAGTGGCGCGATGTCAGCTCACTGCAACTTCCGCCTCCCGGGTTCAAGCAATTCTGCTGCCTCAGCCTCCCAAGTAACTGGGGTTACAGGCGCACGCTGCCATGCCCAGCTAACTTTTTTGTATTTTAGTGAGACGGGGTTTCACCGTTTTGCCCAGGCTGGTCTCAAAGCCCTGAGCTCAGGCAATCCACCTGCCTCAGCCTCCCAAAGTGCTAGGATTACAGGCGTGAGCCATGGCGCCCAGCCTAAACTTTAGCTTCTAACACTACTTTCAGATTTAAAAAAAAATTTCAACTATTTTAATTTTCAAAAAATTTCAACTATTGTTTTAATATTTATTATTATTTATATTATCTCTTAACTCTTGGAGAATAGTGTTTCCAAGATTTTTTCTCTTCTGCATTTATCGCTGTTTCCTTTGAATTCCTTCTTTTCTTCTTCCTTTCTCTCTCTTTTTTTCTTTTTTTTGTTATTGTTGTTATTTTGGAGGGCAGTGGGGAGGCAAGGGAGGAGTTTTTTCCTTCCTTTTCTTTTTCTGTTTTGTCACCTAGGCTGGAGCGCAGTGGTGCAATCATGGCTCACTGCAGCCTTGAATTGCTGGGCAAGCAATCCTCCCGTCTCAGCCGTCTCCGTAACTGAGACTACAGGCACATGTCACCACTCCTGGCTGATTTTATTTTATTTTATTTTAATTTTTTTTTTTAATGCAAAGAGGGTCTTGCCAGGTTGCCCAGGCTGGTCTTAACTCCGGGCCTCAAGCGATCCTTCTGCCTGTAGCACTAAGAGTTCCAGTGTGAGCTGCTGTGTCTAGCCATGAAGCCTTTTCTTCTTTCCGTTGTGTTAGTCTCTATCCTTCAGGTTTCCTCCAGCGGTTGAGATCATTGGCTGCTAATGTTAAAGAGCGATTGGCATCTCTCTTTAAGTGGGTAGATGGTGGAGGAGATCAGGTGGGAACCAGGCCCTGTTAGTGAGGGTCCAAATGTCATTATCTCTAGGGTTTTGTTGTTGTTTGCTTGCTTTTGTTTTTTCCTGGGCTGGTCATTTTCTCCTAAGAAGTCTCTATCTGAGGAGTAAAAGGCAGAGTTGTGAGTGCCGCATACAGAGAGGAATGATTTAATGCAGCACTTCCCACTTCCCAGGTCTGCGGCTGCTCTAGGGGAGAACAGCACCCACTCTCCACTGAGGCAACCACCTGCCTGGATGGGTTGCACATAACCCTCTCCTTAGTGGTTTTTTTCTTTTCTTTTTTTTTTTTTTTGAGACAGAGTTTTGCTCTTGTTGCCCAGGCTGGAGTGCAATGGTGGGATCTCGGCTCACCGCAACCTCCGCCTCCCAGGTTCAAGTGATCCTCCTGCCTCAGTCTCTCAAGTAGCTGGGTTTACAGGCATGCACCACCATGCTTGGCTAATTTTTTATTAGCCAGGGGTTTCTCCATGTTGATCAGGCTGGTCTCGAACTCCCGACCTCAGGTGATCCACCCTCCTTGGCCTCCCACAGTGCTGGGATTACAGGCGTGAGCCACTGTGCCTGGCCTCCTTAGTGCTCTTTCAAACAGCTCTCCTACTTTTGTTCTGCCTGTTGTCCTCTAGCCCTACCCCTTGCCCTTGTCTTGAGACTAAAGCCTCCAGTTGGGGGAAAGCAGCTTGCTTTGCACTCACTTCTCTCTTCACGCACTTTGGCTCTATTTACCTTGTTTTTTTTTTTTTTTTTCCCCAAGATGAAGTCTCAGCCTATCGCCCAGGCTGGAGTGCAGTGGCATGATCTCAGCTCACTGCAACCTCTGCTTCCCAGGTTCAAGCAATTCTCCTGCCTCAACCTCCTGAGTAGCTGGGATTACAGGTGCCTGCCACCATGTCTAGCTAATTTTTTAGTATTTTTAGTAGAGACAGGGTTTCACCATGTTGACCAGGCTGGTCTCCAACTTCTGACCTGAGGCGATCCAGCCACCTTGGCCTCTCAAAGTGCTGGGAATACAGTTGTGAGCCACCATGCCCGACCTATTTAGCTTTCTTTAGATCAATTACTGTTTGTCCACTTGCTTTTCATTTCCTGTCTCATTTTCTTTGTCTTTGGAGGTTTTTTGTCTTTCTTTACTCTTACTGTAGTGGAGCACTGGGGAAAATGAAGATAAACACCTATGTTGCATCAGGCGTGTTCACCCTGAAGTGCACACTTTCTGCCTTTGTACATTTGCCCTTAAGGTCTCTGCACCCCGCTATTGATACACACCTCACATATATGATTACTAGGCTTGTCCTGTTGTTCTGATGGGACGATGCCAGCCAGCCATTGCAGGATCAGGTGATTCCTTTGGAGGAGGCCAGAGATTCTATGTGATCTTTGTTCTGCACTTTCTTAGAAGTCCTGGAAATTCTGTGAAATTGTATATTCCCCTGACTTTTCTTCTTCTCCCTCCATCATCTCTCCTCAGAGTTTCTGCTACCACCTAGAGTTTTGTGTGCCATTTCCTGGCTCTTCTGAGCAGGGATGATTAATCTTTTTCTTCATTTTTGAACCTGCCTATTCTCATTGAACTCCAGGGGCTTGGAGTGGTCTCTAGCAAAGAATCAATAGCTGATGGCTGCAGAGAGGTTGATTCACACACCAAGGATACTTTACTTAAAAAGAAAATAGGTGAATGCAGGACCTCCCTGTTCTCAGATCCTTTGTGTTGATTGGCACCGTGAACATTACTGGCACTTCATATGTTATTTTAATTATTATTCCTTTTGGTTGTTATTGTTAACCCTCCTGATAGATTTAGTTTAGTTTTCTTGACCAGGGAGTAGTACGGGGAAATTGTAACCCTCCTGATAGATTTAGTTTAGTTTTCTTGACCAGGGAGTAGTACGGGGAAATTGTAACCCTCCTGATAGATTTAGTTTAGTTTTCTTGACCAGGGAGTAGTACGGGGAATTTTGAGATTTTCTGCTTCTACAGGATTTTGGCTTAATAATAAGTGATATGTTTAATTTAACTCACATTTGTTGAGTGCAGAGCACTGTGCCTAGTGATGTGAAGCATACAAAGATATTCAAGACGGCCGGGCACGGTGGCTCATGCCTGTAATCCCAGCACTTTGGGAGGCTGAGGCGGGTGGATCACCTGAGGTCAGAAGTTCCAGATCAGCCTGGCCAACATGGTGAAACTCCGTCTCTACACAAAATACAAAAATTAGCTAGGTGCGATAGCGGGTGCCTGTAAACCCAGCTACTCGGGAGGCTGAGGCAGGAGAATCACTTGAACTTGGAAAGTGGAGGTTGCAGTGAGCCGAGATCGTACCACTGTACTCCAGCCTGGGTGACAGAGTGAGACTCTGTCTCAAAAAAAAAAAACAAAAGATACTCGAGACATGGTTCGTTCTTTGAACACTTAGTTGACTCAGGACAAGAGCCTTAAATTAGTAGTCCTGCTACAAGATAAATGCTGCGGTCAAAATGCAAACTATGCAGTGGGAGTAATGTGGAATTAACTAGTTTAGTAATTAACCCTGGCTGGGGGATGAGGAAAGGCTGGGAGAGTTGGAGATGAATCCCGGGAGAAGGCCAGACTCTCATGAATGGATGTGGTAGGGAAGGCCATCTCTGGAGGTAGGACTGTCACAGGGACACTTCTTCTCTTTGTGTGACAGCCATCTTGAGTTACTCTTGTCACTTCTTTGCCTTTCAGAGTAAATAAATGCCATATGTGTTTGGGTTTTTTGGAGCACTGCTTGCAAATTGTATGCAATTCCAATTGTGCTTTTCTATCCTAATGCTAATGATGTTGTGCTTTTATACTATTACAATGTTGATGTTGGTCTCTAGCCGCAGATTCTTGTACATCGTCAATCTGGATGCCCCTTTCGAAGGTCACCGAAAGATCTCTCGCCAGAGCAAATGGGACATTGGAGCTGTGCAGTGGAATCCTCATGACAGCTTTGCACACTATTTTGCAGCTTCGGTGAGCTTATTTAAGGAATACAGGAGAATGCTGTTAAGTGTGTCATCTGGGGCTGGCAGATCTATGTCCTGTGTAGAGAAGAGAGTGCAGTCCTCATTGCTCAGTTAGAAAAGAGGTTTGGATGGTTCTGAAAGAAAGACAGAGGCAAGTTACACATTAAATATATGTGGGAATGCTCGCTGGTCCCATCGGTGTCAGGCCTTGTATTTCTAGGGACTGAATCCAGATTTTGAAAGGGAAACAGGCAGATGCATCCATTTCTGTGAGTGATGAGAACCTGTTTCATCAGCAGCAACGTAACTAGCCAGCGGCCAAATGGCAGATGACTTTGAAAAACATTCTAAGGAGGGTAACTGGGGAGCTGGTGTGGAGTTGACCTTCATTGCTTTCCGAGGGATCAGAAGACTTCCCCTACCCTTCCATTCAAAGGAAAAGATTCTTCCTTGATTGGGAATCATTAGATTTCGTTAACCCCATCAAATTTTATGTGCCTGTTTATGTGTGATTTTTTTCCCTTGGGAAAACATGTATAAGTTTTGTTAGGTTTTCTAATACAAAAATCTTTTCTTTATACAAAAGGATTCTGGACTAGAACCTCTCTGGCATCTTTCTCCAGATTCTGTGTCACATTGTATTCTAGAATAATGAGAGATCTAAACTTTTTGCTCTTTTTGCATTGGGCTGGCAGGAGAGTATTTAAAGGAATCCTTCTGATTCACCAGGGGCAGGACCACTGTACAACCTGTCTCAGTCTGTTCTTGTCAGGAAAGGCAGTCTGCGGAAGGAAAGCATCTGAGCAAAGAAAGAAGAGCAACTTTGTCAGCTTGAGAAGGAACAGAAAGCTGCCCTTCCAAAGCTGTTTCCAAAATAGGATCTGCCTTTAACTGTGGATGTCTGAGGTTGCGCTGATTTTCAGGGCTATTCTGAAAGAGAAAGGGATAGTCAGTCTTCCTGCCTTTCTACTCTCAGCCTCTCTCCTGGGTGATAGAAGGAGCTCTTTTAGTTGGTTTATACCTTGGGCCTCTTATTCCCCTCTCACCCTCAGCCCCTGATCATCTAGTCCAGGATTTTTTAACCTTGGCACTACTGGCTTGTTAGGTCACTCTTTGTGGTGGGGGCTGTCCTGTGCATTGTAGGAAGTTCAGCAGCATCCCTGGACCTACCTGCTAGATCTCAGTAGTATCCTCCCCTCCCCTTGTTATAACAATCAAAAATGTCTCCAGACACTGTCAGGTGTCCTCAGAAGCGAAATCGCCTCTGATTGGGAACCTTTGGTTTAGACTGACGCCTCAGTAGTTGTACTCCATGGATTAACACTGCATTTGTTCGGGAGTGCTAACAAAGACAGCCTTTTTAAAATTTGTTCTTTCACAATTAATCATTTTAAAGTGAACAATTCAGTATCCTTCACTGCATTCACAGTGTTGTATAATCACCACCTCTATCCAATTCCCAAGCATTTCTATCCCTCCAGGGTAAAACCCTTTACTCATTAAGCAGTTTCTCCCCATTTCTCCCTCCCTTGCAACTCGTGGCAACCACCAGTCTGCGCTCTGTCTCAATGGATTGATCTATTCTGGATCTTTCATAGACATGAGATCATAAAGTAAGTGGTCTTTTGTGTCTGACTTCTTTTACTTAGCATAATGTTTTGAAGTTCATCCATGTTATAGCAGGTATCAGAACTTCATTCCTTTTTATGAGTGAATAATATTCCATTGTGTAATTATTTATCTAGCTGTCCATCCATCAGAGGACATTTGACTGGCTATTGACTAGAGCTGGCATGAACATATGTGTGGATGTACTTGTTTTCACTTATTTTGGGTATACACCTAAGAGTGGAATTGCAGGGTCATATGGTAATTCTGTGTTGAACTTTTGGAGGGAACCACCAAACTGTTTTCACAGTTGCTAAACCTTTTAAACTCCCATCAGCAATGCACAGAGTTCTAATTTTTCCACATCTTCTCCAAAATTTATTTTTTGTATTTTTAAAAAATTGTAGCCATCCTAGTGGATGTGAAGGTGTGAAGTGGTACTTTACTATGTTTGTTTGTTTGTTTGTTTTGAGCTGGAGTTTCACTCTTATTGCCCAGGCTAGAGTGCAGTGGCGCGATCTCGGCTCACCACAACCTCCACCTCCCGGGTTCAAGTGATTCTGCTGTCTCAGCCTCCCGAGTAGCTGGGATTACAGGCATGTACCACCATGCCTGGCTAATTTTGTATTTTTAGTAGAGGCAGGGTTTCTTCATGTTGGTGAGGCTGGTCTCAAACTCCTGACCTCAGGTGATCCACCCACCTCGGCCTCCCAAAGTGCTGGAATTACAGGCGTGCGCCATTGCACCCGGCCTTATTGTGGTTTTAATTTACATTTTCCCAGTGACTAAGGATGTTGAGTATCTTATTGGCCACGCACATGTCATTTTTTTTTTGAGAAATGTCTATTCAAGGCCTCTGCCCTTTTTTGAATTGGGTTGTTTGCATTTTTGCTGTTGAATCGTAGGAGTTCTTTATATATTCTGGATATTAGACCTTTATCAGATATATGATTTGCAAATGTTTTCTCCCCTTTTGTTGGTTGTCTTTTTACATTCTTGACAGTGTTCTTTGATGCACAAAAGCTTTAATTTTAATGAAGTTTATCTGTTCTTTTCTTTTTTCTTGGTTGGAAGGCAACTTTTTTTTTTTTTTTTTTTGTGGAGACAGAGTCTCGCTCTGTTGCCCAGGCTGGAGTGCAGTGGCGCCATCTCAGTTCATTGCAGCCTCCACCTCCCAGGTTCAAAGAATTCTTGTGCCTCAGCCTCCCAAGTAGCTGGGACTATAGGCACGTGCCTCCACACCTGGCTAATTTTTGTATTTTTAAATAGAGACGGGCTTTCACCATGTTGGCCGGGCTGGTCTCTAACTCCTGACCTCAAGTGATCTGCCTGCCTCAGCTTCCCAAAGTGCTGGGATTACAGGCGTGAGCCACTGCCCCTGGCTGGAAGAAAACCTTTTGAGAAAGCTTTAGTTAGGGAAATCTGAGGTCAAGTCCTAGTTTTAACATTCTGTCTTTTCTCTTGAGAGGCCCCACAGTTTTCTGAGCCTTGCTTGCCTCATCTATAATGTGGGTGATGATACCCACTGTGGCGTGTGCTGGGGGAGGACAGAGGCCAGATGCGTTAAGGTGGACTGGCACTAGCAGACCCTCCAGAAACGGCAGGGAAAATTATCAGAAGACGAGGGGACTTTTCTTTTCATTCCTGTTCCCGTTGGAAGCTATTTTGAATCCTAACCTTTTCACAAGAATCTTACCTTTTTCAATTTGGAAACTGGTATTTCAGGATAAAAATCTCAGAATTTTATACATCTGTCTCTGAGCTAAAATGACAGTCTATTACATATATATCATTTAGAAAATTATTAAGTGGCCTGCCATTGTTCTCAGCCTATTAGTAATCTTTATCACTTTCAGTGTGTTTCATAAACTCATGGTATGTAGGGAGCCTTTGTTGTTTTGTTATATATTTAAGTGAAATGTACTTTGATAGAAGTTATTTTTCTATTGTAGCTGTGGTTTCTTCCGGTCCATTTTCCCTGTCACTTTCTGCTTAACTCTTTATGAAATTAAATACAGGCATATTTCAAGGAATGTTAAATAATTTTGCCTTCTAGGACACCCTTTTGATGGTCTTTCTTCTTTTCTTTCTTTCTTTTTTTTTTTTTTGAGATAGGGTCTTGCTGTGTCACCCAGGCTGGAGTACAGTGGCACAATCGCAGCTTACTGTAGCCTCGACCTCCCAGGCTCAAGCAATCCTCCCACCTTAGCCTCTCGAGTAGCTGAGACCACAGGCATGCACCACCATGACTGGCTAATTTTTAATTTTTTTTGTAGAGATGTGATTTGGCTATGTTGCCCAGACTGGTCTTGAACTCCTGGGCTCAAGCAGTCCTCCTGCCTCAGCCTCTCAAAGTGCTGGGATTACACGCATGAGCCACCACGCCCAGCCTCTTTTTTCTCTCTTATGCACCTCTGGTTTTAAAGTGTCGTAGGACCCAGTTGTGATGGCGCAGTCTTCACTCCTCACACCTTATCCCAGCTATCCTGGACTCTGAGGCAAGGGGATCGTTTGAGCTCAGGAGTTCTAGAAAAGCATGGGCAATATAGATCCCATCTCAAGGAAAAAAAAAAAACCTGTGGTAGGTGGACTCTGGCCATTTGATCATGGAAGGGTGAGCTGGAGACATCCAGTATACCAGCAGCTGGGGAGACGTGTGTGACCTTCAGAGGGAGGAGGTTCCTCCAGTGGCTGGGACATTTTCCTGGCCCATGAAGCTCATGTGCAGAAGTGTTTCTGCACCTTCAGTTCAGCTGTGACTGTTCAAGATGTGTCTCTTAAGATAGTCCTGCCTTTCCATTTTGAGATTCACAGACCTACATACTGAGCTGAAGTTAGCTCAAGCTAATGTTAATTGTACTTATTCCTGATGGCTTTTCAAAGAAAAGTTCAGCCTGAAGGGATTCTCTGCCATATGCGTGAGAGCTCCCCCTGGCTTCCTCTTCTCCGCCTAAAGCTGAACTGGGCAAGAAGCATATAACAACAGGCAACCTTGCCCGCGAGCCTCTTTCCCCTTTTCAGAGCAACCAACGGGTTCCAACCATTTAAAGTGGAAAGACGGCAGTGAGGGAGCGATAGTGGCAACAAACCTTAACCAATCCACACTGTGTCATCAGGTAGCACCAGTCTCCACAGCGCCTTAGCTTCATGCTTTCTCACAGTCCCCTCGGGAAGAACGAAATGATGATCCATCCCTTCTTGCCGTGGGCTTGCACCGTCTGTGTCTACACCAGCCCCCCGCGGTGGTCAGCGGGTTATTAGCCCACTAAGATGAATGTGGGAGACCACCAGTGGAGGAACAGCTGCATTAGAAAGGGCCACCATCGCGTAGCTGTTGACCCCCATCCCAGACCACATCCCGGACAAGATATACGTCCAGTCCAAGGGAAGGGATTAGAGCTGATTCTTGTTTCTTTTTTTTTTTTTTAGAGGCGGAGTTCCTCGCTCTTTGTCGGCCAGGGCTGAGTGCAGGGCCGACTCCGCCTCACTGCAAGCCTTGCCCTCCCCGAGTTTACCGCCATTCTTCCCGCTCATCCCTCCCGAAAGCTAGCTGGGGCACTACAGGCGCCCGCCACCTCACCAACCGGCTATAGTTGTGTGTATTTGAGTAGAGACGGGGTTCACCGGGTTAGGGCCAGATTGTTCTCGAGCTCTTCCTGGACTCGTGATCCCCCGTCCGGGCCTCCAAAGTGCGGGACTACCTAGGCTCGAGCCACCACAAGTTTTGTCTGGTATTTTTAGTAGAGACGCCGGCTTTTCCACTGGTTAGCCAGGATGTCCTCCATGTCCCTTGACCTACGGATCCGCCTGTCTTGGACCTCCCAATGCTCGGGATTACCGGCTTGAAGGCACCACCCGCCCGGCCTTTATTTTGCGAGACGAAGGTATCACCTTCTGTTGCCCAGGCTGGAGCAAGGACTGCCATTCTTGGCGCACGCAACACTGCTCCCGGGTCAGCGAATCCTCCCACCCCTCCCCCCACCGCTGATAACAGGTGCTCCACCATGCCCGCTAATTTTTTGTATTTTTTTTTAGTAGAGACAGCTACCACATTCGCCAGGGCTAGGTTCCTTAGACGACTCCGCCGAAGTGACCAACCTGCCTTGGCCTCCCCAATGTTGGGATTAGGCAGAACACCATGCGCCTAAACTTGATTTTTGTCATAGGAGAGGGAGGATTAGCAGCAGATCCCCGTTCATGGGTCAGTGGTGCCTGGAGGACATGGAAGATTCAGGTACGTGGCCCGTTGGCTCGCTCCTCTGCTGGGCAATGGAACAGAGCTCCGTGCATCACAGTTCACTAACCCAGGCACAGCCGCCTCCCAGCAAGGCTGCCGTTGGTTGAGTCTTCCTGATCCACTGCTTTCCCCTGGTCACTAATTTATGGCTAAGGGCTGACCCTGGGCAAGTTGCTGGGGAAGGGAGACACGGGTCGGGTTGGAATGTTCTGGATCACTGCTGGTCTAGGTAAGCAGAGCACGGTAGGGAACACCACAAGGCCTCGGCCGTCTTCCTTGGCTGCATGCGGTCGACGTTGCCGCTGCTTAGATGTTGAGTTTTACCAAGGGTGCCTGGGTAGAATTGATTTAGAAAATGATAATGCAAAGATTACTTTGTGTGTTTTCCCTTCGTTTTTTCTGTTTATTTAGAGAGAGAAAGGTTATTGTTTGTTTGTTTGTTTGTTTTGAGATGGAGTTTCACTCTTGTTACCCAGGCTGGAGTACAGTGGTGCAATTTCAGCTCACTGCAACATCTGCCTCCCAGGTTCTAACGATTCTCCTGCCTCAGCCTCCCGACTAGCTGGGATTACAGGTGTGTGCCACCACACCTGGCTAATTTTTGTATTATTAGTAGAGATGGGGTTTCACCATATTGGCCAGGCTGGTCTTGAACTCCTGACCTCAAGTGATAGCCCACCTTGGACTCCCAAAGTGCTGGGATTACAGTCATGAGCCACCAGGCTCAGCCCTGAGAGAATGTTTTAAGTTGAAGCACTGCATTTCTTTTCTGGGAGCAGATGATAGTATAGCTGGCAACTACAGGGCGAAGGACCTGACAGGTTCCTTCCAAACTCATGTTCGTTACCAAGGAACTTTGGAGATTCTCAGGCTAAACCACATTAAGAAGCCCATTAACAATGACATTCTGAAGCCACTGGAGACTCGATGTGCTAGTGCTTCGGACCTGGACTCTGAAATTTTTTTCTTTTCTTTGTTCTGTTTATTCTTTGTGTCCCAGCGACTTGGACTGGGCAGTGTTTGAGCCTGACCTCCTGGTTACCAGCTCTGTGGACACCTACATCTACATTTGGGATATCAAGTAAGAACAATTAGGAGGTATAACCACTTGGTTGGGGGTGATTTGGGACTTTTGTTTTAGAGATCGAGTGTCTTAGTTTGGTTTCCCCTCAGTACCTCGAGGCAAGGATTTGAGTGCAAATGTATTATTTGGGAGTGAAAGACACAGTTGTAGGGGGACGGAGAAGAGAGCTAGGACCTCTCTAGGTAAGACCTTAAGGAGAACTCTCCTTAGTTAGACTTCTTTCCTTCCTTCCTTCCTTCCTTCCTTCCTTCCTTCCTTCCGTCCCACCCACCCTTCCTCCCTCCTTCCTTCTCTTCCTCCCTCCCTCCTTCCCTCCCTCATTTTCATCCTTACCCCCTTCCCTCCTGTCTTTCCTTCCTTCCTCTCTTTCTTTCCTTTCTTCTTTCTTTCTTTTTTTTTTTTTTTTTCAGTACAGTCTTGAAACCCTGGGCTCAAGTGATCGTCTCACTTCAGCCTCTTGAGTACCTGGGACCACAGGCACTTGCCACCATGCCCAGCCAATATTTGTTTATTTATTTATTTATTTATTTATTTATTTATTTATTTTGAGATGGAGTCTCACTCTGTCACCCAGGCTGGAGTGCAGTGGCGTGATCTCGGCTCACTGCCTGCTCTGCCTCCCGGGTTCACACCATTCTCCTGCCTCAGCCTCCCAAGTAGCTGAGACTACAGGTGCCGGCCACCACGCCCGGCTAATTTTTTTGTATGTTTTTAGTAGAGACGGGGTTTCACTGTGTTAGCCAGGATGGTCTCAATCTCCTGACCTCGTGATCCGCCTGCCTCAGCCTCCCAAAGTGCTAGGATTACAGGCATGAGCCACCGCGCCTGGCCTAATTTTTATTTTTTAGGTTTTTTTTGTAGAGACAGAGTCTTGCTGTGTTGTCAGGCTGATCTCAAACTCCTGGCCTCAAGCAGTCCTTCCACCTTGGTCTCCCAAAGTGTTGGGATTACAGGTGTGAGCCATTGTACATGGCCTATAATTTGTTTTCTTGCTTTTTTCTTTCTCTTTCTTTCTTTCTTTCCTTTTCTTTTCTTTTCTTTTTTCTTTTTTTTTTTTTTTAGACAGAGTTTTGCTCTTATCTTCCTGGCTGGAGTGCAATGGCACGATCTTGGCTCACTGCAACCTCTGCCTCCCGGGTTCAAACAATTCTCCTGCTTTGGCCTCCCGAGTAGCTGGGATTTTAGGTGCCTGCCACACCTGGCTAATTTTTGTATTTTTAGTAGAGACAGGGTTTCACCATGTTGGTCAGGCTGGTTTTGAACTCTGACCTCAGGTGATCCACCCACCTCAGTCTCCCGAAGTGCTGGCATGAGCCACCGCGCCTGGCCAGCAGGTCTCTCTTTACACCTCTTTTTAAGGCCCTCACAGTGGATCTACCTACTCCAAGTTCCGGCTAAAAGGAAGGCGAAGAATTGTGTACAAAGGGTGAAAAATACCAGGTGGGTGGTGGCATATAAATTGGGGATTTGATTTTTTATTTTCATATTTCAGAGACACAAGGAAACCTACTGTTGCACTATCTGCTGTTGGTGAGTGTATGCTTCTCCTACCTCGCCCCGGCGCCTCGGTTTCTCTTCATTTTCTTCCTTCCACTTCTTTCCTGTTCCTTCCTGTTCCTTTCCATCTTCCTCTCTGACTGCCTCTCCCTGGGCTGCGCCATGGCCGAGTGGAATCGTGAGTCCCATGTTGTTGCAAGAGGCTCACTTTAGGCTGCTCCCAGAAGCCACGGTTAGGACTGTTGGGTGTGGAGCAGGACCTCATTTCAGAGTCCAAGGACAAGAGCCAAGTTGATTTGTTTTAACCTTTTTGTAGTGGAAAATTTCAAACATTCTGTAAAAATAGGGAGAAGAAAATGAACTGCCTGTGTTCATCGTCAGCTTCAACACTTGTCATCATACATCCAATTTTATTTCATCTTTTCCTCCACCCACTATTTCACCTCCACCTTCATTCCCCTTGTGATTTTTTTTTTCTTTTCTGAGACAGAGTCTCGCTCTTATTGCCCAGGCTGAAGTGCAGTAGTGCAACCTTGGCTCACTGTAGCCTCTGCTTCTCAGGTTCAAGCAATTCTCCTGCCTCAGCCTCCCAAACAACTGGGATTACAGGCGCCTGCCACCACACCTGGGTGATTTTTGTATTTTTAGTAGAGACCGGTTTCACCATATTGGCCAGGCTGGTCTTGAACTCCTAACCTCAAGTGATCTTCCTGCCTCGGCCTCCCAAGTGCTGGGATTATGGGTGTGAGCCACCATGCCCGGCCCCCTTGTGATTATTTTGAAGCTAAGTATTATATCATTTCTTCAACAAGTATTTCAGTGTATATTTTTACAAAAGAAGAATCCCAGTACCATACTTAAAAATACCTGAAAATATTAACAGTAACTCTTTAATATCATCAAGTATCTAAGCAGCATTCAAATTTCCCCAATAGTCTCTCTCTCCTTTTTAGTTACAAATTGTTTGAAAAATAGTTTGAATAAGAATCTACATAAAGTCTATACTTGTAAGTGGTTGACATATTTCTCATCTTTTTAAGTCTGTCTCCTCCTTTTTGGATTTGTGTTTTTCTTTTCCTGTACTTTATTAAAGCAATGGTTCATCCTGTGGTTTCTCCACAATTAGATTACACTGACTGTATCTGCATGGTGTTTTTTTTTGTTTGTTTTTTTTGTTTTTTTTGAGACAGAGTTTTGCTTTTGTTGCCCAGGCTATAGTGCAATGGCGGGATTACAGGCATGTGCCACCATGCCTAGCTAATTTTGTATTTTTAATAAAGATGGGGTTTCTCCTTGTTGGTCAGGCTGGTCTCGAACTCCTGACCTCAGGTGATCCACCCACCTTGGCTTCCCAAAGTGCTGGGATTACAGGCTTGAGCCACCGTGCCTGGCCCATGGTGTTGTTTAACATGGATGAACCAAGTCTTTGTAGTTACATTCTGATCTACCTGTTTTCATTGCTTAGTTGGAACTGACCTTTTCTGGAATTCTCAACTGGGGCTACTAGGGACTATTCCCAGCACTTCCTAAGAGTAGAATGTGGAATAGAACTGGTATAACTTTTTCACAGAGATAAAGCTAAATTGTCAATATTTTGGCATCCTTTATAAAAGCATGTATTATCAGTCTCTTAAATTCTGTCCCTTTGCCTCTCCTTGGTGCATTGGAACACACATTTGGTGTTTGCTCTGAAATGGTTACTGTACATGGTTCTTTTTCCCTCTGTACCCCCACGCCTTTTTATGTAAAGGCCTGTAGCATCATGATTGTATTAGCAGCTGGGTGATATGATTTGTGAAGTTAGAAACCTCTTTTCTTTTCTTTTTTTCTTTTTTTTCTTTTTTCTTTTTCTTTTTTGAGGCAGATCCTCACTCTGTCACCCAGGTTAGAGTGCAGTGGCGGAATCTCAGCTCACTGCAACCTCCACCTCCTGTTGTTCAAGCGTTTCTCCCACCTCAGCCTCCCGAGTAGCTGGGATTACAGGCACGTACCACCATACCCAGCTAATTTTTGTATTTGTAGTAGAGACAGACAGGGTTTTCCCATGTTGGCCAGGCTGGTCTTGAACTCCTGACCTCAAGTGATGTGCCTGCCTCGGCCTCCTAAAGTGTTGAGATTGTAGGCGCAAGCCACCACGCCCAGGCAGAAACCATTTCCTTCTTATTCAGTTCTGTAGACTAGTGTATGTATTTGTGCACTACAGGCATTTGTGACTGATCCAAGGAGATACTTAATATAGTAATACGGTAATCCCCCGCCTCATTCTCAGAGGACACAGTCCAAGACCCCCACTGGATGCCTGAACCACAGATAATACTGAACCAAATATACTGTGTTTTTTTCTGTACATACATAACTTGGATAAGGTTTAATTTATAAATTAGGCACAGTAAGTGATTAACAACAACAACTAATAATAATAAAATAGAACAGTTATAACACTGTACCACAATAAAGGTTATGTGAATGTGGTGTGTCTCTCTCTCAGAATATCTCCTTGTACTGTATCAGGGGTGACTGACACTGCAGAAGGTAGAACTGTGGATAAGGGGGACTAAGCATTTGTTGCATGGATATGTGACTCAAACACCTGTGCTTCTGTGCTAAGTGCTTAACAGTTCTACTGCTCTACCCCCCGCCCCCCACCTGCTTTAGGTACTTAATGATCTGAGACACAGACTGGCCGGAGAGGGCGTATAACTGAGTAGAAATATAGATGGTCTACAGATGCCTCAATCAGGTTCTCCTGACTTTGTTACTTACATTTATAGGTTTCTTTTTTTTTTTTTTTTTGAGATAGAACTTTGCTCTGTTGCCCAGGCTGGAGTGCAGTGGCGCAATCTCGGCTCACTGCAAGCTCTCCCTCCCGGGTTCTCGCCATTCTCCTGCCTCAGCCTCCTGAGTAGCTGTGACTACAGGCGCCTGCCACCACGCCCGGCTAATTTTTTGTATTTTTCGTAGAGACGGGATTTCACCATGTTAGCCAGTATGGTTTCAATCTCCTGACCATGTGACGCGCCCATCTCAGATTCCCAAAGTGCTGGGGTTACAGGCGTGAGCCACTGTGCCCGGTCACATTTATAGATTTCTGAGTTAGATTGGTTTTAGGGAAACCCTAAAAAGGAAAGTGGCTCTTTTTTTTTTGAGTCGGAGTCTTGCTCTGTTGTCCAGGCTGTAGTGCAGTGATGCGATCTTGGCTCACCGCAACCTCCACCTCCTGGGTTCAAGCAATTCTGCCTCAACCTCCCAAGCAGCTGGGACTACAGGCATGGGCCACCACACCCAGCTAATTTTTCTATTTTTAGTAGAGACGGAGTTTCACCATATGGGCCAGGCTGGTCTCTAATTCCTGACCTCATGGCCCACCTGCCTCGGCCTCCCAAAGTGCTAGGATTATGGCATGAGCTGCCGCGCCCAGCTGAAAGTGGTTCTTTTTTTAGCCTGCTTGTTCTCATTGCTTTTTTTTCTGTTATAGATCTTTCTAAAAAAATGGGAAGTAGGAGACTTCTTTCCTTTGTACTCAGTGAGGTTTCTCAGAGGTGGCAGAGCTACCGTGGGGGAAAAGAGGCAAGTGAGAGGCTTGTGGACCTTGATAAGCTGCTGGACCTAACATCCCCCGAGTGGTGCAGCCTCAGGTACTGCCTGCTCCCCAGAGCCCATGGTCCCCATCTCTAAGGGGGCACATTATTCATGCCCTTTGGGATAGGGGATCACGTTGTAAGTATTCCAGAGTGTTCTCTGTGTCTGAGAGCTTTCATAGCCCGGGACGTCCATCTGACCCTGGTGTAATGATTTTTTTTTTTTTTTTTTTTTTTTTTAGACAGAGTCTTGCTCTGTTGCCCAGGCCGGAGTGCAGTGGTGCAATCTTGGCTCACTGCAATCTCTCCCTCCTGGGTTTAAGTGATTCTCCTGCCTTGGTCTCCCAAGTAGCTGGGATTACAGGTGTACGCCACCATGCCTGGCTAATTTTTTTATTTTTAGTAGAGACACGGTTTTGCCATGTTTGCCAGGCTGGTCGCGAACTCCTGACCTCAGGTGATCCACCCGCTTCGGCCTTCCAAAGTGCTGGGATTACAGGCGTGAGCCACTGCGCCTGGCCCCTGGTATACATGATCTTGATAAAGCAGATTGCACTGGGTCCCAGAGTCCTTTGTGAGCCCTTGAGTTCTGATGGCTTCTCACTGAGAAAGGTGTATTCTCTTGGACTCTTAAGTAACTCTGTCAAGAGGAGGTAGAGCAAGTTCTTCTCACTCACTTTCTCCTCCAGCTGATATCCTTCCTTGCAAAGAAACCACCTCCTGACACTCTTTCTTGCTTCATCTTCACTGGTCTCCATTTGTTCTTAGATGACTTAAGATACCCTATGTCTCAAGAAAGAACAAGACAGACAAATAGCCTCATCAAAACCAACACAGCATATCCTTGGACAGGACCAAGTTCTGGGCCTAATGCTCTATGTCCTGTTAGGTTCTGAGTCATTGCTCTGTCCTACTCTGGACTTCTTGGATCTAGTAGCTCTCCAAAGCTGTGGATCTACCGTGGGTTTCCCCAGTAATAACCACCAGGCAGAGGGACCAGTGTCACGGCAGTAATGTCTTGTGTGCTGTGAGCCAGGGCAGGAGGAGGCAGGAAGCAGTGCTGTCACTTTGGTTGTGGTTTGGTTCTTGATTAATGATTAATTTTTTAGGAGTCAGCTAGAAGTGCCACTATGTCCCAGTTTTCCATGTCTCAGCTCTTTCTGGCATCTCACATTATGCCTCCTGTCTTAAGTAGCCCTTTTGTCACTAATGTATCAATGACACTGTACTGGCGGAGAGGGAAAAGGACTGAGGTCACACACTGCCGAGGGTGTTCCCTTTCCCTTATCAATGTGGTACCAGTGGCCATGGCTGACGCAGCTCATGGGGAGATGGGTTGCTGGGAGCATGTAACCCTTGGGGCAGAACTGGTCACCACTGGGGCTTATTCTGTAGTTGATCTTCAGCTAAGGCTGTGTTTTTCTAAGACTATCGCTCAACAATTAAAACAAGAAGAAGGGGCAGGCATAAGAGCAGAGGCTGTTCTGATTAGGAGTGCGAGCAGGTGTCATTTGGGGATGAGAAATGGTCAGGTTGTGTGACAAGTCAATTACCAGCCAGCAGTGCCATGCTCAACTACTGCTCTGTAAGAAACTACGTTTTCCTGCTGATTCTGCTCAGAGTAACCTGTAGATTTTTTCCCCTGAGATGATTTCCTCAATTAGGTAACTATGATCCTGTTCCCATGTGTTAATTCATTTATTTTTTGGCTTCATTTTATCTGGAATAGTGGAGTTGGTGTAGTCATAGAAACTTGAAGGGTTCTGGGCTTATTCAGCCAGAACTCATTATCCAGCTCCCCTGGCTGTGCTCCGCTCTGCTTCCGAAGGCACCGAGGGCAGCAGCTTTCTTCCCTGATTTTTCTTTGCAGCGGGTGCCTCCCAGGTCAAATGGAATAAAAAAAATGCTAACTGCCTTGCCACCAGCCATGACGGTGATGTGCGGATATGGGATAAGAGGGTGAGTAATCTCTTTTTTCCCCCTTGTTGGTCTTTGATCCCTCCCAGAGGGTGTGAAGATGACTTTATGAATGCCAGGGCTTGTCGTGAGAGTCGGGGGAACCCTGGGTAGCATGGTAAATGCTCATTTTAAGCTTGTAGTACCAGATGATATTTGCGTCTCCGTCCAGTGTTGAAGGAAGCTAGAGAAGTGAGACATTAGCAACCGTGATTGAAAAAATCAGCCCCATTTTGCCACCTCCTAATTATGACACCAGGTAAGCTAGCCACTGTCATTTCTCTTAACCTCAGTTTCCTTCAAATAAAGATACTAACTGTGTGTGTATCACTGGGGTTAAGCCGTGGAGCCCAGACACTATTCTAGAATTGTCAGCAGGTGTCTTATCCCTGCCCATGCTTGCAAAATGAAATGTATTTGTTCTCGAATGCCTGCCATCCTGAATACTTCCAGTAACGATGAGCGAGGCAGGGCACTCATGATGCTTAAATTTCCCCTTACAAGCCTAGATGTCCCATCAGCCTCAAAGTAGCCTGCATATCGATCATACGTTCTCACTGCAGCAGCCCATTGGACATCTAGGGATGGAAATAGCACCGGCTCCTTGGCTGTGACTGTAATGGAAAGTCTACTGAAGTTGGTTGTGTTGGCTTCAGTGAGGGTCACGGCACAGGGAAAAGGCCTCCCCCGTATTGACTGCCAGACTGTTGAGTAATAATGAACAGAGCCATCGCTGCCATGAGACCTGGGTGTATATCCTGCTCACTGCCTGTGAGACCTGGGGCTAGAGATGCTCAGGCGTTGTGGGGATGGCTTGTTCAGGGATGTCTCCACCGTCTTATCTTCTGGCTGCTCCCCTCGCTTCATACATTTGGAAGAGAAGCGGGAAGTGGAGCAGAGATCAGGCGTGGCAGATCCTGTCTGCTGCATTAGGCTCCAGGCATGCTGGGGAAGCCTTATGTGGCAGAAGCCCTCTGCCTTAGGTAGCTCTTAAGTGAGAAGGTGATTTCGTAGAGGTTGGGCAGGTGCATCTTCTTTTTTTATTTTTTTTTGAGACGGAGTCTGGCTCTGTTGCCCGGGCTGGAGTACAGTGGGGACCTTCCCTCACTGCAACCTCTGCCTCCTGGGTTCAAGCAATTCTCCTGCCTCAGCATCCCGAGTAGCTGGGACTATAGGCGCGCACCACCACACCCAGATAATTTTTGTACTTTTTAGTACAGATGGGGTTTCACCATGTTGGCCGGGATGGTCTTAAACTCCTGACCTCAAGTGATCTGCCTGCCTCGGCCTCCCAAAGTGCTGGGATTACAGGCATGAGCCACTGTGCCCAGCCGCATCTTCTACATGTTAGTTTTTGTCTTCTGTTCCTGTATGGCCATTTTCCCTTTCTCTCTTTTTTTTTGAGTTGGAGCCTTACTCTGTCACACAGGCTGGAGAGTAGTGGTGTGACTATAGCTCACTGCAGCCTCGACCTCTTGGGCTCAAGCTATTCTTCTGCCTCAGCCTCCTGAGCTGGGACTACAGGTGCATGCCACCACACCCAGCCAATTTAAAAAAATATTTTTTTGTAGAGACAAGGTCTTCTTATGTTGCCCAGGCTGGTCTTGAATTCCTGGGGTCAAGCGATCCTCCCACTTCAGCCTCCCAAAGTGCTGGGATTACGGATATGAGCCACTGCTCCTGGCCTTCTTTATTTCTTCAATTAGTGATTGGTTTTATTCAATTTGTCACTAGAACAACATTTTCTAGTCTCCTGATTAGAAAGGAGGTAACTGATAACACTAATTTCCCTTAGCAAATCTTTTTATCTATTTTATTGAAAGGGTTTTAGCTTTTTTTCTCTTTTTTTTAATTAATAATGATACTTAGGGCCAGGGACGGTGGCTCACACCTGTAATCCCAGCACTTTGGGAGGCCTAGTTGGGTGGATCATGAGGTCATGAGATCGCGACCATTTCTGGCCAACATGGTGAAACCCCGTCTCTACTAAAAATACAAAAATTAGCTAGGGGTGGTGCTGCATGCCTATAGTCCCAGCTGCTCGGGAGGCTGAGGCAGGAAAATTGCTTGAACCCAGGAGGCGGAGGTTGCAGTGAGCCAAGATCACGCAACTGCACTCCAACCTGGGCGACAGAGTGAGCCTCTGTCTCAAAAATAAATAAATAAATAAATAAAACTAAAAATAATGATACTTAGGACTTCTGCTCAGGTAAGTTGTAGAACTTGTTGATTATATTTTCACTTCTCTGGCGCTTTGTAGTGTCAAAGCAGCACTGATTGCAACAAGCATTACAGACTTCAAAAAGTTCAGTGTCAGTGCTGACAGTGAATTTTAACCCCAACTCATGTATGACTAACATACTAACATTTACTGAGCATTTATTGTACATAAGCATTATTTTAAGAGCTTTACATTTATTGATTAATGTCTCTTTATAATTAGCCTTTAAAGTAAAGGTTTTTTTTTTTTTTTTTTTTGGAGACAGAGTCTCACTCTGTTGCCCAGGCTGGAGTGCAATGGCACGATCTTGGCTCACTGCAACCTCCACCTCCCAGGTTCAAGCAATTCTCCTGCCTCAGCCTCCCGAGTAGCTGGGATCACAGGTGCCCACCACCAAATCTGGCTAATTTTTGTATTTTTAGTAGAGACAGGGTTTCACTGTGTTGGTCAGGCTGGTCTCGACTCCCGGCCACAGGTGATCCACCCGTCTCCGCCTCCCAAAGTGCTGGAATTACAGGCGTGAGCCACTGTGCCCGGCCAGTACGTGCTATTGTTATCCCTGTTCTACAGATGCGTAAACCAAAGCACAATTTGCTGCCAAAATTTGAACCCAGGCAGGCTGGTGCTAGAGACTGCACTCTTTTTTTGTTTTTGAGACAGAGTCTCCCTCTGTCTCCCAGGTCGGAGTACAGTTGTACAATCATAGCTCACTGCAGCCTCAAACTCCTGCGCTGAAGTGATCCTCCCACCTGAGTAGCTGGGACTGCGGGTATGCACCACCATGATGAGGTAATTAAAAAAAATTATTTTTGTGTAGATGGAAATCTTACTGTGTTGCCCAGGCTGGTCTTGACTTCTGGTCTCAAGTGATCCTTCTGCCTTGGCTTCCCAAAACGCTGGGATTACAGGTGTGAGCCACTGCACCCAGCCTGGAGATTGCACTCTTAACCTCATAGACTAATGCTAATTATAGAAGTAATACAAGCTCTTTGTAGAAAATATAAATGAAAAAATAAAAATCATTCACAATCCTACTACCCAGAGACAAATGCTAACATTTTGGTGTTTTCTGTTTTATGCTTTTTTTTTTTTTTAACTTAGTTTGTCATACTGTATACGTAGTTGTGTACACTTTTTTTCATTTAACATTACAACAGATGCATTATCCTCATACTATAAGCTCTAAGTATAGCTTTCAGTGGCCACATCATATTGTATCATCATATGGTGTCACGTAGTTGTAGGATATTGATTCAGCTTCATTATTTCCCATTTGTTGATCATTTAGGTTTTTTCTGGTTTTCTAGTCTTTCAGATAAATTCAAGATGAACTTCTTTTGTATCTAAAGCTTTTTGTGAGTTTGGATTATTCCCTTAAGACAGGAAAAATTTTGAGGTGGGAAAAGTGGCTCAAACCTATAATCCCAGCACTTTGGGAGGCCATGGCAAGAAGATTGCTTAAGGCCAGGAGTTCGAGACCAGCTTCACCATGTTGGCCAGGCTGGTCACGAACTCCTGACCTCAGGTGATCCACCTGCCTTGGCCTCCCAAAGTGCCGGGATTACAGGCGTGAGCCACCGCCCCCGGCCTGTTTATTTTCTATGCTTATTAATCGTGTATTGTTTTCTTTTGTGATGTACATTCATTCTCCTTCAGAATCTTAGCACTCCATCACTTTAAGATGGTGGTTTTACCCTTTTGTTGAAGCTGGGTTCATCTGGATGTCTCAGTCCCTCTTCGTGGGTGATCATGGGGAAGGCGAGTGGGAATTGTCAGATTGCACTATTAAAGTGTGAGGCTCGGCACAGTGGATCGTGCCTGTAATCCCAGGACTTTGGGCGGCCAAAACAGGTGGGTCGCTTGAGCCCGGGAGTTCAAGACCAGCCTGGACAACATGCAAAACCCTATCTCTACAAAAAATGCAAAAAAATTAGCCAGGCAAGGTGGCATGCACCTGTAGTCCCAGCTATTTGGAGGGCTGAGGCGGGAGGACTGCTTGAGCCCAGTAAGTTGAGGCTGCAGTGTGCCGTGATCGTGCCACTGCACACAGAGCAAGACTTCGTCTCATAAAACAAAAAGCGAGGGGAAAAGTACCCACTACCTTGTATCCTCCATTGAAGTGGGAAGAAATGAGGCTCACAGGTGCATTTCCAGAGCATGTGAAGGAGAGTTGGATGAGTCTTTTGGTGATGGTGTTTTGTTTGGCTTAACCAAAACAAAGTCTGTGTAGGGTAGAAACAGTATCTGGTAGTATTTTTGCATCCTCACTCACTACCTAGCAGACTTTTATGTGGTAGACACTCAATGAGTTCTTTCTAAATCGATAACGTTCGGTGCTGATCTGTTGCAGAAACCCAGTACAGCAGTGGAATATCTAGCCGCCCACCTCTCCAAAATCCATGGCCTGGACTGGCACCCAGACAGCGAGCACATTCTTGCTACCTCCAGTCAAGACAATTCTGTGAAGGTCAGTGGCGCCCATGGGGAAGTTGGAGGAGCAGTGTTTGGGTGGCATAAGGGATGTATGATTCCACCTTGGGAGGAAAGCTATAGTGTGTTAGCATAGTATGTATTTCATGGTGCATGTGCTTCTTGGGCAATTGAACACATAAATTTGGTTATGTTGACCAGCGCAATGCAACAGAGCGAGATCCAACATGGTGCTGTTCAACGTAACCACGCTGCGTTACGATGGCAGAGTGACATGCCATAGGATCTCCTCTGATACGTCTCTTAGAGTTTGTTCAGAAGGTTTTCGTCTTTCCCTTTGTGAAAGGACGTCAGAGATAAAAGTACTTAGAAAGGGAAAGAAGTTGGCCGGGTGCAGTGGCTCACACCTGTAATCCCAGCACTTTGGGAGGCCAAGGCAGGCAGATCACTTGAGGTCAGGAGTTCGAGACCAGCCCGGCCAACCTGGTGAAACCTGATCTCTACTAAAAATACAAAAATTAGCTGGGTGTGGTGGCGCACACCTGTAATTCCAGCTACTCAGGAGGCTGAGACACAAGAATCTCTTGAACCTGGGAGGCAGAGGTTGCACTGAGCCGAGATTGAGCCACTGCACTCCATCCTGGGCGACCGAGCGAGACTCTGCCTCAAGAAAGGGAAAGAGGTTCCCTTGCAAAGAAACTGCAAGGATGTCAGGTATGCATAACAGATAGGAGAAAAGCCTACAGAGTTGTTAAGGTTGCAAAGTTTACAATTAGTCTATTCCTGGTGGAAAAACAGCTGCTCCCTCACATGCTTATCATATGTAGAAAGTTCTGACGTTTTCAGGCTAGAGTCATTTTATTAGTGATTCTCTAACTTACAGGAAATGCTCAAGATTTTTTGTGTTTCAGTAACCCGATTATTTTTGGTTTATCACAAGGTACAGCATTGTTTGTTTGCCTTTCCTCTCTGTGGCATGTGATGTTCACCCTTGGTCAGAATGATGGCAGGGCAGAGTCATCTTTGCTCCAGTAGTTCCTCCTTGTGGTCAGGTCTCTAAGGACAGGGGTTTGACCACAGAAGTTGGTTTAGCAATTTTATGATTCAGTGTCATTTACTTAATACTTTGTTGTATTTATATAGTCATATATGACATCTTTGTGATATGATTAGCAAACTACAGTCATACACTAAGTTAAAAGTTAACTCCTGTCTTGAAGTTTGTAAATCCCTCAGGGTTCTAAGTTATTTTTAATGTGCCAGATGTGACTTTTTTGTTTGTTTGTTCATATTGCATTTGGTTTTCCGTTTTTATTTTTATTTTTATTTTGAGACTAAGTCTTGCTTTGTCAGCCAGGCGGAAGTGCAGTGGTGTGATCTCGGCTCACTGCAACGTCCGCTCCTGGTTCTTCTGCCTTAGCCTCCCGAGTAGCTGGGATTACAGATGCACGCCATCATGCCTGGCTAATTTTTGTATTTTTAGTACAGATGGGATTTAACCATGTTGGCCAGGATGGTCTTGAACTCCTAACCTCAAGTGATCCACCCATCTCAGCCTCCCAAAGTGCTGGTAGCAGGAGCTACCATGCCCGGCCGCATTTGGGTTTCTGTCCCCATACCCCAATCAGCTTGTCTCCCAAGTTCGGAAACCAGAAACCATCCAGTTCAACTCTACCTCTTTCTATGAGATGCCCAAGTTTGTTGATACTCAGTGACATCTTTCCTAACCGTGAGGCTGGGGTTTCGTAGGTAATAAAGCAGGTAACAGCAGGTTTCCTGGGAGGACTTTATAGGCATTGTTTCCCCATACAAAGAGCCTTCTCTGTTCTTTACCAGCAGGCTTAGCTTATTAATGAAATGAGATTTTTGGCATGGTATTTGATTTATTCCACTATATCCTGGAAGCAAGACAATTTTTTTTTTTTTTTTTGAGATGGAATCTTGCTCTGTCACCCAGGCTGGAGTGCAGTGGCACGATCTTGGCTCACTGCAGCCTCCACCTCCCAGGTTCAAGTGATTCTCCCGCGCATGCCACATGCCACCACGCCCAGCTAACTTTTGTATTTTTAGTAGAGACGTGGTTTCACCGTGTTGGCCAGGTTGGTCTCAATCTCTTAACCTCACGATCCACCTGCCTCAGCCTCCCACAGTGCTAGCAAGACAATTTTATTGAATGTATGTAAACAGCATGATCATAAAAAGTGAAGAAATTTATAAAAGGGACTTTGCATAACATTCAACCATTTTTTCAGTAGATAAAAGGATCAATATGTGTAATTTTTCTACATAATCATTGTTAGGTTTATATGACAGTTCTTAGGTGCATATGACAAATGCCCAAGCTGGTGTTTTAGTTTTATTCCTTTTGTATACTATCCATATGATGTAAAAATACAAAATTATTAGCTCATAATTAATATTAGTTATTTTTATTGTATTTTTATTTTCTAAATTCGAAGGGGTCAGCTGGAGCAAGGTTATCACTGAATGTGTATTTCACTTCAGTTTGTAAATTGTTTAACTACAGAACAGTTGAGTTGAAGGTTAGGGGTAGATCAAGAAGAAAGAAAAGAATTTTTCTTATGTGGCCCTTAGGAATAGAACATTAACTCTAATTAAATGAGTGCATATCATTTTACATAATCTTTTTGTTTTTCCTGATCTTGGGTTAACAGCAGCCTATTTCACAAAAGTTGCTGCCTTCTAGACAAAGAGAGTCCTGGAAATCCAGACATAGTCCCTTGGTACATTCTCTTTTTTTGAGACAGAGTCTTGCCCTGTTGCCCAGGCTGGATTGCAGTGGCGTGATCTTGGCTCACTGCAACCTCTGCCTCCCAGGTTCAAGCGATTCTCATGTCTCAGCCTCCCTCAGTAGCTGGGATTACAAGGGAGCACCAACATGCCAGGCTAATTTTTGTATTTTTAGTAGAGACGGAGTTTCACCATGTTGGCCAGGCTGGTCTCAAACTCCTGACCTCAAGCAATCTACCTGTCTCGGCCTCCTAAAGTGCTGGGATTACAGGAATGAGCCACCATGCCCTGCCACCCTTGGTACATTCTGATGAGAAACATGTAGCTTTGAGTCTGTTTCCTAGCGTATCAACACTCAAGGAAACCTGGTTCATTTTTGACCGAGGCTCTTGTGATATTTCTTTATACCTCTCTTTCTCCATCTCTATGTAGATATGTGTATATCTATATCTATATATAAAGAAAAAATATGTATTCTGTCTCACTGTGTTGCCCAGGCTGGTTTTGAACTCCTGGGCTCAAGCAGTCTTCCTGCTTCAGCCTCCCAAAGTGTTGGGATTACAGGCGTGAGCCACACCTAGCCCCTGATATTTCTTCAGAGGACTTTTTTTCTGCTCTGTAGTTTGTAGCAGGAACCCTTTGGCAAGGGTAAATGAAAAGGAGAAATTGTCTGTGAATAGGGGGATGCAATGGCTCCGGTTAATTTGTAATAACTACCTGTATCAGATTGAAATAGAATGAAGTCTTCTGTTTCCAAATGACGTGTAATCATTTTGTAAGACTGCATCAGTGATTGCCTTGAGAGCAAGAGCATGTTATGAATAGTAAGGACATTGTCAAATCTCCAGGGTCCTCTAATTAATCCCATAAATTATATAATTGTCACCAGTTAGTGAGCATATTTAAATCTAGAAACAAAATCTTTCTTTTTTTCTTAAAAAAAGCATTAATCTTGCTAACAGTTATATGCCGATCTTTGTACATGAATGTGAATATGTTTCTATCCCAATTGAAAAGTAAACAGTTGCTAGAATGTATTCATATTAACAACATTTTACTTGTATATAATTAATCTGGAGAGGCTGAACTTTTCTTTGCTAGCTTTCCACACACTGTGGGTTTGATAATAGGGCGGCATGCACAGTGTGGAGCTCGTTAGAAATCTGGAGAATGACAAGCATACCTAATTATTTTGAGTATAATTCCTTTTATAAGTTGAGGGGCAAATTATAGTTTACCATGTGGCATATGGGAAACCCAAAAGTAGTTTAAGCTGAAAAGACATCTTGACCATTTTATTATTTTGAACATAGGACCTGAATTTGGCAACAAAGAGTTGTCATATAAGGGTCTAAAGATAAGAAATGGCTGGTGCAGTGGCTCACGCCTGTAATCCCAACGCTTTGGGAGGCTAAGGCGGGTGGATCACCTGAGGTCAGGAGTTCGTGACCAACCTGGCCAACATGGTGTAACTTCATCTCTACTAAAAATACATAGCTGGGTGTGGTGGCGCATGCCTGTAATCCCAGCTACTCGGGAGGTTGAGGCAGGAGAATTGCTTGAACCTAGGAGGTGGAGGTTGCAGTGAGCTGAGATCATGCTACATGCACTCCAGTCTGGGCAACAAGAGCTAAACTCCGTCTCAAAAAAAAAAATAAATTAAAAAAAAAAAATAAATAAATAAATAAAAATAAAAAAACCCCCGAATAAATAAAATAAAGATAAGAAATGATTACAGTCTTGATATATAGTGAAACTAAAGTTAAATACAGCGGGAAGTGATAAAAATTATTAAGAATGGTAGCATTTTTAAAAAACGAGATTTAGGCAAATTCAGGAGCTTTATGAAAAACACAAAAAGTAACAGTATTTTGGTGAACCTCTGCTCTGTAGATATAGACTAAGTTTTTACTGTTTTAAACAAATGATGTGCTCAGAGATCAGTTGCTATTTAAATGGAAAGAAAACCTACATTTTAGATTTTGTTTTTCTTTTTTAGAGACAGGGTCTCACTGTGTCACCCAGGCTGCACTACAAGTGGCATGATCACAGCTCACTGCAGCCTTGAACTGCTGGGCTCAAGTGATCCTCCCACCTCAGCCTCTCAAGTTGCTAGGACTACAGGTGTATGCCACCATGTCATATTATTTTGTTTTTTGTAGAGGTGGGGTCTTGCTATGTTGCCCAGGCTGGCATTTTAGTTTTATTCCTTTTGTGTACTATCCATATAATGTTTTGCACAAAAATCTTTTCCACAAGTCATTTTTGTTTTATAAGAAAATCCAT